CCAGATCGTCCAACTGCATCCTAGATGTCCATTGTATCCCGTGCTTCCCTTCAGATGTTGACATCTTCATGATCCAGTCGATCACCAGGAGAAAAAGAAAGGGTGAGAGTAAGGAACCTTGCCTAACACCGGTCTTCACTTCGAACGACTTTGTCAACTGTCCTCCATGCACGATTTTGCAGTGTAATCCATCATATGAACTCTATGATATTGACTATCTTTTGAGGCACGCCGTAGTGTCGAAGAAGCTTGCATAGTGTTGTTCCGTCAACGCTATCAAATGCCTTTTCGTAGTCAATGAAGTTGATGTAGAGTGATGAATTCCAATCAATTGATTGTTCCACAATGATCCGTAGAGTTGCGAATTGGTCTGTACACGGTCTATCCTTACGGAATCCTGCCTGTTGGTCACGAAGTTGGGCGTCTACGCAGTCCTTCATCCTGTTTAACAATACTCTGTTGAAGACTTTTCCCCGTATTGAGAGAAGAGTGATGCCCCTGTAGTTACCACAGTTGCTGAGATCGCCTTTTTTCGGTATTTTGATCAGGAGTCCTTCTTTCCAGTCTGTTGGTACTTGTTCCACATCCCAAATCTTATTGAAGAGAATGTGGAGTATCCTTGCAGTTGCCGCTACGTCTGCTTTTAGTGCCTCTGCTGGAATGTTGTCTGGTCCTGCTGCTTTGCCACTCTTGATTTGTCTGATGGCCATGCTGATTTCTTCAATTGTTGGTGGGCCAACGTTGATTGGGAGGTCCGTGGGTGATGCTTCGATGTTGGGTGGGTCCAGTGGAGCTGGTCGATTCAAGAATTCTTTGAAGTGTTCTACCCACCTGTTTTGTTGCTCTTCAATGTTGGTGATTACCTCGCCTTCCTTGCTTTTCACTGGTCGTTCTGGTTTGCGAGGATTTCCAGAGAGTTTCTTTGTTATGTCATACAGTTGTCTCATGTTCCCTTCTCTTGCAACCTTTTCCGCCGTCGTTGCTAAATCTTCCACATATTTACGTTTGTGGGTTCTGATACTCCTCTTCACTTGTTTGTTTACTTCTGTGCATTCAGCTTGTGATTTGGCTTTTTCTGCTCTTGTTCGACTGATATTGATTGCTGCCTTCTTGTTACTTCTTTCTTGAAACTTATCCAGTGTATCAACGGTGATCCATCCCTTGTGATGATGCTTCTTTTGACACAGGACCTCATGATATGTTGAAGTGATTGCCTCTATGATCCCCTTCCAGTTGCTCTCTACAGTAGTTCCTTCTCCATTGAGTAGATCATGAAAGGCCTGGAACTTGTTGCTGAGGACTATCTTGAATTTGTTGAGTTTGTTAGCATCCTGAAGAAAGGCCATATTGAACTTTTGTGATATTGTCCGCCCCATTGTCTAGTGCTTCTTGAGTTTCAATTTCATCTTGGCGACCAGCAAGTGATGATCTGATGCTATATCAGCTCCTCTCTTGATTCTCACGTCCTCTATAGTCCACCTGAACGTTTTGTTGATGCAAATATGGTCGATTTGGTTTTGCGTGGTGTGATTCGGTGAAGTCCATGTGGTTTTGTGAATGCGTTTATGTGGGAATATGGTGCCACCTATGACCAGTTTATTGAAGGCATATAGGTTTGCAAATCTCTCACCATTTTCGTTCCTTTCTCCCAGTCCATGTCGTCCCATGATGTCTTCATATCCAGTGTTGTCCGTTCCAACCTTGGCATTGAAATCTCCCATCAGAATGGTCAGGTCCTTTGTTTGGCACTTCTCGACGACTGACTGCAGCCTATTGTAAAATTGATCTTTAGCGTCTTCATTGTAATCGTTAGTAGGCGCATAGCATTGGATAATATTCATTGTAATGCCCTCCTTTTTTGTTTTGAACGAGGCTTTGATGATCCTTGGTCCATGAGATTCCCATCCTATAAGCGCATTTTGCGCTTGTTTGGACAGCATCAATGCAACTCCTTGTGTGTGTGTGGGGCATATTCTTCTTCATGGCCGGAGTATAACAGAAGCTCTACTGAAGTTAGTCGTTGTTGTCCAACTTGCGTCCAATGTGTTTCACTGATCCCAAGCACCTCTAGGTTGTATCTCCTCATTTCTGCAGCAATTCGGAAGGCTCTCCCGGTGTCCCACATTGTACGAACATTCCATGTACCTAAATAAATGGTCGCTCTGGTTGTCAGAAGGGGCATCGGCATCGTAACTTCCGAAGGAATTCGGCTTTCATCATGAGGCGTCATAGTTCTTCTAAATGAAGACCTTCTGACTCCCGGGGTAGAGGTTCAAAGGTTTGAATAATTCTTTCTGGTTAGCGTTTTTTTAGCGAGTTAGTTTTCTACGGGATGGGGACGCTAACCCCATACCCGACCCTCCTCCTTTATCCTGGCTTGAGACCGGCAGTACCCCCCGGAGGGATTCCAGGCGGAGTTCAGTACTTGAATGGATGAGAATATATGACCTCATTACGTGTGCTCGAATAATGCATCATGAATAAGAAACATATCAAGACCGATTGGAAGAATCATTTATAGATGGCTTTAATATAGAACTAACGTTGTCGTACACAGTGGCATGCATCAGTTTATGTGAATTCCTAAATATTATGGGCTGTTGCATACAGTTATTTATGTTTCAGTTGCCTGTGCCAATGATGCTATCAATGAAATTAGCAGAGGAATATTGTAAGTACGGAGATATTGTAGTGAACCACTTTGGTAAAGAGGTAAGTGACTCTTCCATTTAATGAGATATTTCATAGTATGATAGAGTACAATGCGTTTAGAATGATTTGGTGCTCCATCAGGCATGATGATGCATGAAACGACGAAATGGTGTACCTAAGCATGTACATATATATCACGGCATTATCTTCTACATTATATTAATTTTGCTTCTAAGTCATCTTGTTGTCCTATAAATGACTGGAGTGGCGTTACCAACACTATGTGATCAACCAAATCTAATGACTAGCCAACAAAATGCAGGAGGCTTTTTATTTGTTGTTTGTTTAGTAAATTAATTGTTTATTAATTTCACAGATTGAAATCATGAGTCAGTTGAAGCTAGACCACCACTGAAAACCTGGAAGCACAGGACGGCCGTTTCATCCTAGTATTTGCTGCTTCAGTATTATTTGGTTTGATTTGTCTTCAGTCCTGGGCTATCATTGGGTTTGTGGCATAGCATAGCCACAACTATCCTATCACAATACGTTTACAAGTTGTACCTAGTTTCATCGTTCATGAACAAAGTGCATTCACTAGCTGCTGATTACAAGAGTTCATAGCTTCAATGTCTAGTAGTGTGATCAAATCGTGATGGTTAAACGAGGTTACTCTGTGCTAATGAAGAATTGAGTTAATACGATCAGTAAAGGATGGAGGAATTGAGTGCCTTCTAGGTTGGTGGAAGTGTGGAATAATCTGTACTGAGTTGTCCAACATGTAGCTGTGAAACTAGTAAGTTAGGCTATGAAGAACACATATTAATTAACCAAACCCTATACCAAGAGTTAGTTTCTTTGAACAATTGATAAGGATAGAAGTTAGGCGTATTAGTATAACCTCTACCCGAATGTGAAGTTTTATTGCGCTCATCTGTGTATGATTTACTTGTCTTTGCCCTGACTTTTCTGTGTTCGCAGGTCAGTTCCGATAAACCCAAGAGTTGTAAAATGGTCGATTCACTAAAAAAAGGAGATGTTATCCTTTTTTTTTTGAAAGTGTCAAGGGAGATGGGGTAGTGAACCGTACCAACATATTGTGACCCTGTTCATAACTGAGTAGTGTGGGATCAGCGGTTTGTGGTTGGAATCCAAAATCAGAGAGTATATGTGACAAAAAAGGTATTAACTTACATTATGTAGTATTAATGTAACAGTAAATGAACTTGCTGTAATTGCTATATATGTGTATTTCTGTTAGACTGTTCATTCACTAGTTCTGATTTGGCATTTGTGGATAGCTAATCAGATGAAAGAATTCTTACTGGTTGCATTTTGAAGGAATTGTTTCACGTATTATATGCTATATATTTTGACTTAATTTCACCCAATTACTAATTTCGAATTATGTCCTCCATCGTTCCTCTTACTTCACATAATTCGATTTCACCACTAGTGTGGCCATGATTAACTGTGCAACCCAGTTTTACAAAAATTGATATAAACTGGACAAATAAATCGAAAAAGAAAAGCAACCAGGTTCTAGGACTGAGTTGTGCAAAAGAGGGGTGGAATTTTTTTTCAGACTCTTAATGATCTATAATACGTTAGGTGTGGTGGATTTATCTTGGTTAATGAATACATTTTTTAAATAACAAACTCCGCCAAATACCTAAAACGGCAGCGAAAAAACAAGAAGTAAACTCAGAGGAATGAACCGGTTTATAGTTCATTACAAAAATATTGTTTATCCCGCACCACGCAGGGCTCGAACTCAGGACCTACTGGCTTCGCGTGCGAGCACTTAACCACTAGACCACTGAGCCGGCATCCAACGGTGTTAATGTCTAACTTCAACCAATCCACGAAGTTGCGCCACCGTACACGATTGTCTTCAGTGAGTTCCTATCTCACAACAGACCTGGTTGAACTCCACTGGTAACAGCTTCGCACTAGAACTTCGGGAGTTTTTCCGTTGGATGCCGGCTCAGTGGTCTAGTGGTTAAGTGCTCGCGCGCGAAGCCAGTAGGTCCTGGGTTCGAGCCCCACGTGGTGCGGGATCGTGGATGCGCGCTGCTGAGGAGTCCCATACTAGGATGAAACGGCCGTCCAGTGCTTCCAGGTTTTCAATGGTGGTCTAGCTTCAACTGACTCATGATTTCAATCTGTGAAATTTCTAAAATCTCCACAAAACCCATTCTGATATTAAATTTATATCTGGAAGTCCCAAAAGTCTGAAACATAATATCTAATTCCTATGAAGTGGTTCGAAAATATAAATGATTTGTCCGTTATTCCCACCAGATGAGTGTTCTAGATCGAAAAATGTTTTTTTAGTCTATCTGCACATTTCAACTTGCAAAGCGCACTAATCAAAAGTTTACCTTGTAATCACTGTTTAGTGGTCATGGATACTAAGAAAATACAGGATGATACAAACACATTTTTTGGCCGATTTTCGCAGGTTCAAAGTTTTCTAGTTGGTTATCAAAGTCTGATGATAGATTATTGAAGAGGCATTTGGTACTACCGAACGAACAACTTACAGTCCTGATCTAGCTGAGTTAATGAAAGAAGGTGAAAAACGGAGAAACTGGGCGGTGAGCATTTTGGCACAACTTGAAAATGTGATTCAACCGAATCCAGGTATTGTTTTCAGAGATATTGGGATTTCATTACTGCTTGTAAAAACTCTAGGAGAACATATATTTGTGGTCAAACAGCATGCAAAACGTGGGAGAAAACCGCGAGTATTCTCCGAAGTTCATTTTGAAATTTTATTGTTTGCTCTAGCACACAGTGCATCTGACCCACATGCCTCTACATGACGTGATTTCTCACCGACTGCCCAGTATTTACATGCAAACTTTTATTGTTATTTATATAATGGACACATGCCAGCATTAGAACTAAAATTTTCTCCATTCATCTGGGTTAAAGCACCAAAACTGTACGTTTTTTGTGCAGATTTCACGTAAAGTACGATAAATTCAGAATTCCTCAATTGTTCCTTTCGTTAAGTAAATCGTGTCATCACTAACGAGGCAAATGTAAGATATTTTTCCTTGTATAGCTTCCCTAAAAAGATGTCCACATCCATTCAAATAAGAACCATATATCATTTAGATCGTCATCTGGTAATTTCATTCTATCGAGAAGTCTCTGCAGTAATATTGTAAAGGCTACAGAAAAATGCTTAGGAACGTATTTATAAGCCAAACGTATATTATACTTCTTAAAATTAATAAGATTTGAAGACAGAGGGTCTTCTTTCCTTCAAAGTCTGTCTTAAGATTAAGATACTGATTAAATATTTAGAATACACAAGCTATGTAAGAGAAGAGGATGATTTATTCTTATCGCAATTCCAAACCACTTATCGATTATTTACTAACTGAACCATCGTTGGTTGTTTCAGAATATATATATATATATATATATATATATATATATATATATATATATATATATATATATATATAATTTTAAGTTCTTAGTTTCCACATTTTCCACCAATAAGGCCAGCCTTTTCTAAATAAAACTGATCAGACTTTCACAAAATACTCAAGGGTTATAGCAGTTACTTTGGTCTGAAATCAAATACATCAAAATGGATATCTAATATCGCTAAATATCGCGAATCTTTCCTAGCCACTTGTGAACTAAATGCTAGATGGTAGGGTAGAGGGTACGCATCCAAATCTCTGTATCTTGTGATAATAATTTACCTAGGAGGCATCCAGTTGAAGTGCTTCGTAGGCTATACTGATCTTATTGGTCGCTTAGCTCATGGTAGAATGTTTTAAATCTACGTTTGGTCAAAATAATTATTACCAATTACATATGACGTAATTGTTGATAATAGGATTTATGAAAAAGTAAGTCAAGTGATAGCTTAAGTTGTGAAATTGTCGAAAATAATTTTAGCAAGATGTGTTTTGCCCCCAAACGTCGGGTTGACTGGCTAGATATTCAAGGAGTTATGGAACAAAAAGTGTCCTTAGACATTCTTCTTAAAAGGCATAAAAATGGCTTTTAAAAGTTTTTCCCAGCTTTTGAATTACAAGTTAAGGTCATTAGATTAAGAATTTATCTTCTACAGATAATATCTGGGAAGAAAATCATATATGGAAGTGTCCAAAAGACTGTTGTCTGAAAATAAAACACATATCAATTTCAACTTGATAGACTATTAAAAAGTCATCAAGAAATCAATATGGGCTCAACACCCCCAATTTCTAGCAACTATGTGTTTTACTTTATTAAACAAACAGCGTTTTGTCAAAAAATTATCCTGAATTGTTCTAAAAGGTTCATTAAGGCAGAACACTTGTAAAATAATAATAATATAATAATAAATTCAGCTTAATTTTTCCTGACATGTGAGACACTTTTACTATCAGAACTTTTTTTTTACAACGGTAACACCAATAAAGACAATATTTCGTTATTATCGAGGTCATCAGTGAATAGAATAATTACAATGGCATAATTTCGTGTAAAAGATGGTGATTTATTATAAGATTCGTAAATAATGTCGTATTCAGGTAAAACAATAGCATATCTCACTGGCTTAAAATTATGCTGTTTAGAAAAATATTCTTCCAATCTTATCAAAGTATTACAAGTATAATCGTATAATTATTAATATACAAGCTTTAAAATATATTTACTGAAACATGTACTGTTCTGACTTGTGTTATCATTACTATTCGACTTTTACAAAGTTGAAATTAGTCTTGTGTAGTACTCTTTCGTCAAAATATTTATCCTTTGGTTAGCTATAGTCTATGTTTAGGTCTTTTTCCAAAATGCTATCTCAAATCTAGTTGCTAAAAAGCGTTGATTTTAAAGGAGAGGACGTTCTAAATTGAATCGGTATCAGAAACACGAAAAAGCTTTTTTTCAATGAAAACAAGCGACAATAATTAATATATGAGGAGTTTCATTGTAATTACAACAAAAGTAAATTATTAGTGTATCTTTAAAACAAAAAAATAAATGAAATACCTTATGAAGTTGAGTGAATGTTTCTTGATTCAAGCACGTTATTCTTTACAAAAATTATCCACATAATACACAAACTTGATGACTATTTACATTCGATTTTCCATTGGTCAGTTAAGTTATTTATTGTAATTGAAAATGCCTAAAATACAGTAATCTTAATTCTTTTTAAAATAGAATATTTATTTAACAGTTGATTTTCCTAATTTTTTTCCATAGCCCTACGAATTGAAGATCTTATACTTAGAGGAATGAATAGGGAGAAAGTTCGCCTGAGTGCTAATGAACAGTTGGGTGAAAGTATGGATCGTATTAGTAGCCTAATTAATGAAAACTCACGATATGGTAAGTCGATAAATGACGTAATTAGCCCTTCAATGATTATGGTATTACGGTATCCAAACCAAACTTGTTTGATTTAAAAATATAACCTAAACGATGGCCTAGTATTGTTTTTGTTGTACCAGAGAGATCTAATTGTCGAGAAAATAAATCTTATTTGAAAGTCATAGGTTAATACGTATGTTAGTATATTTTTATATAATTTGGATTGATACGATATAATGCACAATTATTCAGCTAGACAGTTCCATAATCATGTCAAAAGAGAAACGCATCCCGACCATACGGGTATGGTTGCTCAGTGCTACCAAAACTCTGAAAGGTGATCAGTTCCTGAAAATTCAGTCGACGAGAACGTTATTTCCAGCAGTAGATCTATGGTGAAATTAAACAGAAATGCAGATAGTGATCAGCCTTGACGGACACCACTTGAGGTTGCAAAATCATATGACAGTTCTCTACTGTTTGTTTATGTTTCCAAGCAACATCTGGGTCAGCCTCTTTTTCAGAACTACCTAAGTGTGACCAGGTTTTCCTGGAATCTACTTTTGGTTTTCTCGTCACCGAGTTCAACTCTAATGGGTCTTCTTAATGTGGATTTTTTGCGTCAAGTGAGGTGCAAGCAAACGCGTGGTCGTATTAGAGCATGATCAGAGTGCAAACAGGCATTCCAGAACGAGTGACAGTCTTCTATCGAGCCTCTCTAACGATGATTGACGGAAATGTGGTCTATTTGAGTCTATAATCGGTTTGATGCAGGCGGTCGCCATGTTAGACGATGTCTCTCCTTGTGCTTAAAATCAATGCTTGCTAAAAATAAACGATTGTTTGAACATAGTTGCAATAGACAGTCACCATCATCTGTTCAATGAGCCGGAATACTAAAATATCCACCTAAATATCTTTCTGTTTGGTTTAAGCTACCCACATGGGCTTTAAAGTCACCTGCTACGAGTACTATGTCTGTGCGTTTAACGTTTTCCAAAAGTTCAGAAAGCTTTCAATAAAAGTCATCTTGCACTTCATTTGGACTGCAGTCAGCGGGAGCGTAGGCAGAGACGACGAAAAGGAAACGATGTGTGTCCCTATCCTTTCGAGTTCTTATGGAGCCGTTTAGCCAAACAGCACATAGACGACTGTTGACGGGGATCCATTCTAATAGAGCTTGTTCTGCTCTCTTACTTAGTGCCATACCTACAATCACCAGTCCGCGAGAACTAACCATCAGGTTGCCAAATAAACAGAGGGTGTATCTCGTCGGCTCTCCGTTTTGGCGAAGTGAGGTCAAGTGAATGACTACACTAGGATCCTGTATTCGTGTTTCAGAGACACAGCATACATCAATGGCACGAGATTCCAGGGTTTTAGCCAGGAAGTCCTGCTGGCCGATTTGACATAGGGTGCGTACGTTAAAGTCTCCAATGTATAGTTTGGAGCGAGGTTTCAGTAGACCTATGACAGTGTTTTGCGCACCAAAATCGTTGGCTGTGGTAACACTTGAGGAGGAATTTGAAAGAGGAGATTTAGAGTTGAAAGTCGAGATGGGAGGAATAATAGGAATTCAAGAGGGAGATCGATTATGAATGCAGTGATCTTGAGTGCTGTTAGAGGTATGAGGACGTTTTCGATTTCTGGTTGACCTCACCATGGAAGGGTTGTTCTGGAGGTACCTGAAAAGGAAATGGTGTTAGGGGTGGTCTTAGTGACTCGAGAGCTTGACCGCAGTGCCCAAGGGGCAACTGCTTGAGGTCGGTCACACACGGCCTTTTTGTGAGTAGTTTTCGTGTTAGCTCCATACTTACTGAGACTTTACTGCCGGAGACGGAAATCCATAGGATAAGGTGAGGTTTGCATTTTAAGGGTCGACATTTTTTAACCCACCGTTTTTTGAGTGAAGGCAGCATCGCTGTTATGTTAGTTGTCTGAAGGAAACACCTCACTGCTGTCACACCTCTGTACAGTCAGCAGTACGACTTCCACCTCAGACCTTGAGTTTGCCGCTTTTGGTCTTGCCGTTTTTCAACCGACCTGTCTGGCATGGTAGGAACGATTGTTTCAGCCAGTATAGCTCGACTGGTTCATTACGATAGGTCATCCTGGCCACCATGTCAATGTAGCAGCAACGTTTGGGCCGAATAAGAGTACTTAATATATGTGAAAGTTCTTATCGCATGGAGTTATACAAGCTACTTTATCCGTTACTTAGGTATAATGTGGTCTAGATATCCTTAAGTCCATTTTTCTGCTTATTGTTGAGCATTTCTATAGTTCTCTTTACTCTGGTTCAGTGATGATTATTCTGTAGAAATTATAATCTGTGAACTACATTTCTTAGTCCAGCACAAGGCTTGTGTGCATAAGATAGACTTTTCTAGTTTCTGTAATCAATCTAGAGTCTAAACCGTTTTCTGCTAGGTATATATTTATTGAATATAACGTCACCCCAGTGTTTATGGTATCACATTCACTGGAATCGACTATATACCTAAGTATCTATCGTTGCAGGTGAGATTTAGTCTAATGAGCATATTTCGTTAAATGTAATCTTACTTTTTGACCCTATTATTAATAATTCTGATGGCACAGTTTCACACCATTATTTAAAACCAGATATGCACATACAAAACTCTAAAATCATATTTATACTCTTCAGCAATGGTATCTCCTATTTTATGCAACTGAAGATAATCAGAAAAGACTAATGTAACAATTCATATTTTCCGAATGGTCAAGTCCATCCAGTTCCCGTTTAGACTGGCCATTTAGTTTGTAAGTATTCTTGTAAGTATTGAGTTAATATTCCCACTAACGACAAAGAACCTAAACTACAGTCAGCATAAAGAACAAAGTATTGGTTAATTATAAAATCGGAATCGACATGAGATATATACTTATGGATCTGATCTACCAATTGTTCTTGTAGTTAAATATGCGGGGAAGTTAGTCGCGGAGCTAGTTAACGGTCCTGATGGTATAGGCTATTCAATATAACCTTGAGACTGAGAATATGTGGGCTCGATTTGTGACTAATTAGCCTTGAGGACAGAATTATCCTATTCACTGACTATTGCTCGGCTATGCGGACAGTGACTGTTTAGCAGGACTTGAGAAAAAGTAACTGACAGAAACATCAACATACAAATTATTTTTAACATAAGGGTACATCAATAAATAAATAAACAATGTGACCAGAACTCACTATAAATGAGAAAATACAATAGATGTCGAATTAAGGTATTTGGAGTATAAAAATAAACATAGGACGCGTGTTCAAATTACAATAAATTTGGAATAGAATATATGACTATAGTTTATAGATTAAATGAAAGCTTATAATTAAGGGAGTAGGGTAGTTACATAAACATAAAATCATCCACATGGGCTACAAATCTTCTCCACCATCTCAACTACATAAACTGGATGTCAATAGTTATATTTTAATAATTAAACATACAATGTCCCAAAAAGTAGTTTTCATAGTTTGTTATTTCTTGTTAATTAGCTACACGGTTGAATTTATAAATTTGTTTCAAATGAAGTCTTCGCGCTGACCATAGTGTCGCATCTATGTTAAAAAATATGTTGGTTACTTCTTTACATAAATAACTGTAAAATAGATGAAAAGATCTTAGATTGCATTGTTCATTAGTTAACCAACTCAAGCAAGTGAAACTGAATAAGATGAATTTATTTATTTCGTGGAGTTTTCGTTAGCTCTTTATAATCTAGAAATACCAATAACAATCATAATAATAAAGATTAGTATAATGATGACAATAGTTATGGAGGAGTTATAAGTACGGTAAAACAAGAAGTAAGGGAATAGAATTCGCTAATGTCGGGAGAAAGCTAGCATCAAAGTTGATAAAATAATTAGCATGATTTATTCTTGACAAAATGTTTCACCGAAAACGACGTATCGATTCGCTAAACTAATTTTGTTATGTTGATCAATAAAATAGTAACAATAGGCAAATTCGCACCCCATATTACCTCCACTTGTATTTATCAGCTTACATGTTCATGCCAAAACATTTTTATTGGAGGAACAGAAAGAAGGCTTCTTGTTTGTATCTCGAAGCACATTCCATAAAGGTTTAAAGAGCCAACGTATTTTCAACAATGTTATTGTTCACCACCTGCTCGATAATGGAAACAAGTTCGGTACTTTAAAATCGTTTAAAATAACCAATACTCAAACAAATTCCAGTTTACTACGTTCCGTTAATGCCATCGCTGTTAAAAACTTGAAGTTGAGCCTATGTATTCGAAAGAGAATAACTACTTAATCTCTAACAACCGTGGTAACTTCTAGTTTTCAACATTCAACTGCCCAGCATTTTTATCCTATAAAAATTACTTTCTTTCAATCATAGGCTATTTTTTACCTTTACTTATGTGACTATTAATATAATCAGTTTTATGGCTACTATAAAGTAACTTCAACATTAGTTTTTATTCTCTAGAAACATCTCTGTCTGGAATTTTCACATCTGATGACACAAATATTCGTTTACTTCACTGCTTTATAATTCTTTGATACTTTCTTGAGTTATACCCGATATATTAATTACTACCTTCGTCATTCACAACCACATCTGGCTAATTCTTATACAAATGTTGTTTCATATTTTATTGGTACGATGTGGTCTGTCTGATTAGTATGTAAACCGAGTATGTTTGAAATACATGATTCATATCGCAGAAGCTCGGATTGGTGTTCTGGACTTAGCTGGCTGGGCTAGGTAGAAATCGGGACCAATCAGGACTCTTGGCTGCTCATACGGGTTTTCGCGTCATTGATCCGATCGATAAGTCACTACTCTCCAATCGGCGGTCACAAGTATAACAAATAGTTGATAGTTTACCGGGTTTGTTTTTGTGAATAAGATATGAACTCAATAAATCACTAGTTGGATGAATACCAGTACATACAGAAAATCTTGTTTTCTTTGTTATCTGTGTAAAAAATTCAAACATATGTTGCTCAGTTGTAAGCCAAACCTTTACATTGTCAGGTAAGACGTAGAATTCGTAATGTTTTTTGTTGAAATCACGAGCCGATATAAATTAGACAACCATTGAAAACTTGGAAGCGTTCAACGGCTGTTTGGGCGTAGTATATGACTCGCCAGCAGTGCGCATCCATAACCTCATAACCAGGAATCGAATTCAAGGCTAAAGGTTTCTCGCGTGAACGCCCAAACTGTAGACCACTGAGTAGATATCCAGTGGTTTACAAGTCTATCTTTGATTAATCGTTAACATATTGTTTGTACATTACCAATCTTACTCTTTCAAACGGAACGAACTAAATGAACAAGGTCAAAACAGGGTAGAAAATAATTGTTCATGTGTATTCTTTTGAATCAGTTATACTTCTGTCCGACTTTTTAGTGTTCATTAAGACAATTCTCGAAATAAAGTGTCTTTGTTGGCAGCCAGAAAACATGCTCTAATGACAATATATCGACGTAAAATAACTTCCGATGTGCAATTACATTCTACATAACAATATTATCTTGAAATCTATGCCGATATATTTGTCAACAATACAGTAAGAAACAAATATCTGGATGATAATCATCAAGAAGATAAATACTAAAGAACCACCATACGTAGAGCTTAAAATTCTCAGTTGAAATTAAAACTTGCAGTCATCATGATAATTGGAATCAATTTAAGTTCACTTTTCATACAACAGAGTTCACCAATAATAGAATCTATTCTAAGTTATAAACATCAATGATCATTTAACTGTGCTGGGTTTCTAATGAATTTTCATTTCATTTCATTTCATACTGTATGAGAAAATGTTAAATTTTTAGGAATAAGCCATAACAGAACAGTTTTTTTCGATCAATCCTAGACAACATAGAAGGGATACAAATATGCAATTATATATATATATATAATGATTGGAATAAAATTTTGTTTCTAGGTTCATCAGGTGATGCACTTAAGAAATGTGCAATGGCTCAAATGGAAATTGGACAATCTGAAAGAAAATTGCAAGAAACTGTCACTTCAGAATACATTAAATGGTTACGCTCTTACATAGCGTCTGAAGCCAAATTAGCAAAAGTAACTTTTTTTTTTTAAAATATCATGTTGATTTTTTCTGATTATCAATATTTCGATAAGTAAGTCAACTGTTTTTATCTTTTGCTGCTTTCTCTTACTATTTTCTACATTATAAATTCATGTTCAAACAAGTACTTTTCTTATAATTGGCATTAATATCAAGTTTTTTTCTTTAATGCACTTACCTGTATAAACATGCTTTCTGTTTTAAAATTTAACACTCATTTCACTCTATTTGTATATATTTAATTGGATGACTAACATGTAATGTTTGGTTGCATAATAATTTATATTCATATTTGTGAAAAGCATTCGTTGAATTTCAGCAAAACTATTGAATAATATTCTACTGTCTACTCACAAATAATATTTGACGTGATCGTATTTTCTCTTAAGTCGAAAGCCGAAAAGTAGTTAAAATGGAACGCTGAACACAATTAGTTAATAACAACTTAGCATTTAACACTGTATTATCATAATGAGTTTGTGAAGATTGTTGAATTTCAAATACTGATGACAATCATGTTCTCATTAGTTATTAGTTTCAAGATGTAACTCCTGGAGTTCTAGTGAGAGGCCGTGACCAATGAAGTTCAGCCCATATCGGCTACAAAACAGATATCCACCTTAAGCAATGGATGAAGCGTTGCGCAAGGTCATAGATTAATTGAAGGTAGATATTAACACCGTCGAACGTTGGCTCAGTAGTTTAGAGGTTAGGCGTTCGTGCTCGAGGCCGAAGGTCCTGGGTCCGAGTTCCTGGTGTGGAGTCGTATAAACGCACTGCCGAGGAGTCCTGTGCTAGGATGAAACGGCTATCCAGTGCTTCCAGGTTTTCAATGGTTGTCTAGCTTAGATCGACTTGTGGTTTCAACTGAAAATTCTGAATTTGATGCACTTCATTCCTAATAATCACAAGTTTTAGTACCATATGGATACACTTCATGTACTATATCAGTTGATGTACTTTTAAAGATTCATTTTCTGGAGAATTTATACTGCAAATACACTTGTTATTTTTGTCCATAAATTCTGTGATTAGATTTGTTAGGAGAAAATACACTATGTATGTTCAAATCATCATTGGTTTTTCTGTCAAACAAAAATTAAAGTCAATTCAGAAAAGAAAATTTTTTTTTCTCGACCATATCGTGTACGCAGGCTATACAGTTGTATTTACAGTTAATTGATAAATAGTCTTTTAAAAAATAGACAGAGGATTACATAGTTTTAGGCGTCGAAAGAAAATTGTATAACGACAGACAATTTAAAGAATGGTATTAAGATGAATCCGAATTTATGGAAGATAACTTTCCACTTGTCGAATATGAGAAAGGTGATGATTAAATTTGATAGAACGTGAGATTGATAATAGCTCTTCAAAATTTTGCAGTAGTATTCTCCTTAAACTTAATGTTCATGGAAAGAATACCTTTATGAACTGTTACAGGTTTTCTAGATTAATTTTGGTTTCATGTTTTTTTCGATGGATCTAGCTGGATAGCCATGTGTTTTCGGAACATATTTGCCAAGCTTTTAAGGATAAACATTGAAATAAATTTCTCTTCCTTTTTAATGGAGCCCAGCTATGAAAATTCATATATTAGCCATTTCAGTTTGCACTATACCATCTGATTTTCCTCTTAATAAGAAATCAAAGTGAAATTCTAAATTCGTCTAAGCCAAATGTAAATTTAATTAACTGATGACAACTATTTTACTTATCCAAGATGACAATTAGATCACCATTTTTATCACAAATGAGCAAAGTGTCATCTATATATCTTTTGTGTATATGAAAGTCATTCGTATTTGGTTGAAGTATGGTATGCTCAACAATGACCATAAAAAATACGCTAGAAGAGGGTCAAGTGGTAAATCCATAGTTTTTCTATTACGCTTTAAAGAGTTCTTCATTTTCGATGCTTTGCTTCTGTATATGACTAGATTTGTTTTTTTTATGGGTATTTGCAGCAAGAACGAGAAAAATTGGAAAATGCTCGATTGGATTTAGATCGTATTAAAACATCAAAGAAACGTGCAAAAGATAACAAACAACATGTAAGGCTTGTGTCTTTCTTTAAAGTTTTTGTGTTGGGAATATAATTTGTCTACTAGTGTACCATTTTTTAAACAAATGGTTTGTTTCGCTCATCTAACTAAAATAAATAATAAGGAATGTAAGTAAACAAGTAATCGTATTAAGTTAGATGTAGTACTGGGGAAAATGTTGAAAAGAACATAATGTTTACATTGGTTTTTATTGGTCAAGTTTTGTGATGTTGAAGTGAACGTGAACTGAGATAGGCAAATCAAACTGCTTTACTAAAATATGCAAACCATACATTAAACACATTACTTGCACACCTTCCTTCAGTTATCCTTTACATGCTTCATGATTCCTTCAGTTCTGTTGTTATTACAATTGTACTTTGTTTCCCTTCCTGTTCTCTTCAATTCAATCTTCTGTCGACAGGCATTTCACTTCCGATTGAGGCTACATACTACTTATATCTGTCAACATAAGTACCGTACACCACAATATGACCATTATCTGTTCGTAGCAACGAATGTTTGGTAAGGTGTACTCAACATTGCTGGGGGTTTATAGAAATTATAGAATTTTTATAGATTGCGTCACGAACTAATGCTTTATACCAATAATGCTTATGTGCTTACTACTGAGCTCGGCCTTGTCGTGTATAAGATATTTATTTATCTCAGGCAACGAAAGGTGGTAGCGAAATATCGTAAATTGGTCAAAGTTATAAATGCACACCATTGGATACAGGCTCGGTTTTCTATAGGTTAATCGATCGCCACGGAATCCGAAGGTCCTAGGTTCGATCCCCTGTAGTAGGGGCATAGATGAACTTTACTGTGGAGCTCCATACTGAGACGAAACAGCTGCTCAGTGTTGCCTGGTTTTCAATGGTTGTTCAGTTAGAATCAGCTCATGATGTAAACTTTGAAAACGTACGTACATATAAAATGACCAGTGGTCTTGAGTGCTGTTGGGAGTTGGACGTAATCCCATCTGACTGGTCACAATCACTGATTGTCCCAATATATAAGAAAGGGTCAAAATCATTTTGTAACAACCATAGAGGGATTAGTTTTACTAACATTGCATCTAAAATGCTAGCATCAATAACTAAGACTCGTGAACTACAAACACGAGAAAATCAGGCTGGCTTCAGACTTGGTCGTGGCTGCATCGACCACATATTCACCATTTGTCAGGTTCTAGAACACAAGGATGCTTATTGGCATCCGAAAATGGTGGTCTTTGTTGACTTAAGAGCAGCATTTGACTCCGTAGACCACGAGATTCTGTGGCAGTGTCTGTCATTGAAAGGCGTACCTCAGAATTACATAAACCTTATGAGGGCTCTTTACTCGAACACTACTAGTCGAGTCAGAGCTTATGGCGAACTTTCATCTGCTCTTACAACCTCAAGTGGTGTAAGTCAAGGCTCTCCACTTTCTGCATTTTTGTTTAACTTCACCATAGACCTGCTTTTGGAAATAAAGTTCCTATCGACTGAATTTTCAGGCATTGATGTCCTACCAGGAGGACAGATGATATAGTCCTGTTTGGTGAAGACGCCTATAAAATGCTGAGTCTTTTGGTAGCACTGAGCAACAATGCTAGAATGTTTGGGATGCTCTTCTTCTTTAAATGCAAGTTATTGCTTCATGACTGATCTGCGTCAGCACCTGAACTAGAGATAGGGAGTGAAGTAGTCGAACGCGTTGACAACTTCACTTATCTTAGGAGTTTGATCAGCCCTAATGGGTTGGTGTCTGACGAAATCTGAACACAGATTCAGAAAGGTCGTTTGGCTTTTGCCAACTTACGTCACCTGTGGTGAAGGCGAAATATCTGTATAAATTAAACGACGAGTATATTGTGCAGCAGTTCGTTCTGTTCTACTTCACGGCTGTCAAACGTGACCATTAAGAGTCGAAGATACTCGTAAGTTACTAGTATTTGATCATAGATGTCTTAGAAGTATTGCCAGCATCTGTTGCGATCACCGGGTAAATAATAGTGAGTTTAGACACAGAGTATTAGGGAATGATGGTAAATCAGTTGATGAGGTTGTGAATCTCCATCGATTGAGATTGTTGAGCCACGTGTTGCGTATGCCTGAACATCAATTACCACGACGTGTAATGCTGACTAGTGTTGCAGACGGTTGGAAATTAGGGGCGGCCAAACCAAGACGTGGCATCAGTGCTTGAAGTCACTAACTTCTGGTCTGAGAGTTTAACAAATCTTTAACTGCATAGCTTACATCACTGACTGTTCTTAATCGAACAACTATTAAAAAACCAGAATGTACTGAATAGCTGTTTCATCCTAGTATGAGACTCATTAGACCCAGGGCTTTCAGATAACACAACAGTTATATAACAGTCGAAGCATTAGGTTGATATCCGGCACCAATCTATGGTGTTAACTGTATACTTTTCCGAGATCTCCACAAACTTTTTGGATATTAGAGTCTTCATACCAAATCTTTAAAATTATTTCATCTACATAAACTTATACATATGATTATGCATTCTTTTCCTGCTGAAGACATTTGATCAATCGTTGAAAGATGCCGAATCAGCATTCAATATTCAGTGTGAAACCACTAGACGTTGTTTACAAGAAAGCATAGACAAATTTGTAAGTTATACGCAGTCATTTTTAAATTGTTGGCTATTATTAATGTTGTCATTATTACCATACATGAATTGAGGATTCTAAAGTAGTTACGAATTCTTCCTGCCATTGACAATTTCCGTGGGGTGAAATTGTTGAAAACCATGATAAGAAATAAACCATAACCGTAATTAAGATGTAGTAGATTTAAACAGTTGTGACTATTATTCAAAATGTATTACCTGCTATCACTGATAAAGTACCCCGCCCAACCTTCTTGCTTTCTAATAATCATGTATTATTGCATCTGTGTACTATTATCCAGTTTAATGTGTAATATTGAAATAGAAAAATTAGTTAGCCAGCCATACTTGTTTAAGAATTTAATAATTAGAATCTATTGCTTAAAATTATTTGTCGAATAAATTCTAAATCAAATAAAAAACCTACTACATCATAAAAAAGACAGGAATACACTTTTTCGCTGATCCTTTGTTCTCTGAGTTGAATGCTTTGATCAAGTTTTTATTGTTCTTCTGAACAACATCATCAGCATAAACTGCAGGTAAGAATAAGGTATTTAGGTTTTTTCATATATAACTGGCAGCTTGTCGTCATCTTCATGAAAAACAACTAGCCGTCAAACGTTATGATGTATTTTTGCTTGTATCAATGCACATGGAAAATCGCGGGCCCATAATGATCCGGGAAAGTCTCGAGATATTTGGTAGGAGGAAATAATCAAGACCAAAAACGTTTCAGCTTTCAAGTTAATCAACAATCTATAAAAACTCCTAAATCAAACCAGTTTATCAACTTATCAGAAAAAGGATGGACAATTAGGAGGTCGAGAATCAGGTTAAAGGGAGAAACAATCAAAATAAATATGCGGACAACAATGAGTTAAAGATCAACGATGACTTGTCAAAATCAAGGTTGAGAGGACAAGTTACCAGTTCTATGGGGAGGATTCCGACTATCTCACTTCTATTTGAAGTTTGTGCCGATGATGGCGTTCAGAAGAACGACGGAGGATTCACAATTAAACCATCCAGCTCGGATAACGAAACCCCATCAAAAATCAACCATCTGAGCTATTAATCTTTTACACCATCCCAGAATTCATTTCAAATCTTCTAAATTTGGATAACGAAAACCCCTAAGACATTGTTATTTTTTGAAGTAGTGTTTTGATATAAGCTTGTGTAATACATATTTATTTTCATTGGTTGAGATCATGAGTCAATTGAAGCTACGTTACGTAAAGCATGATTGACGCTTTAACAAAAGTCAATTCGATCATAGAAAACAATTCAAGTATTCTGTGTATTGAATCCCCACCAACGACGGAAGAAATCAGAATGGCCATCAGACAAACACAGAGTGGGAAAGCAGCAGGAACGAAAACATACCAGCTGAAGCACTGAAGTCAGACATCGAAGTAACTACAAACATGCTTCACCTTCTATTTAAAAAGATTTGGGAGTAGGAACAGCTGCCGATGGACTGGAAAGAAGGACACCTCATCAAGATTCCAAAGAAAGGAGATCTGAGCAAATGTGAAAACTACAGAGGCATTAGACTATTGTCAGTACCAGGGAAAGTCTGTAACAGAGTGTTGCTGAACCGGATGAAAGACTCAATAGACGCCCAACTTCTAGATCAACAAGCTGGATTCCGTAAGGATCGGTCGTGCACAGACCAAATTGCGACACTACAAGTCATCGTCGAACAATCAATTGAGTGGAACTCAATACTGTACATCAACTTCATTAATTATGAAAAGGCATTTGACAGTGTAGATAGGAGGACCTTATGGAAACTTCTTCAACACTACGGAGTTCCTGAGAAGATTGTCAATATTATCCGGAACTCATACGACGGGCTACAATGTAAGGTCGTGCATGAAGGACAGCTGACAGATGCATTCCAAGTAAGGACCGGATTCAGACAAGACTGTCTACTCTCTCCCTTCCTTTTTCTTCTGGTCGTCGACTGGATTATGAAGACCTCGACATCTAAGGGAAAACACGGAATGCGATGGACAGCTCGAAATCAATTAGACGATTTGAACTTCGCAGATGACCTGGCCCTCCTATCGCATACACATGAGCAAATGCAGATAAAAACAGCCAGTGTAGCAGAAGTCTCTGCATCAGTAGGCCCCAGCATACAGAAAGGAAAAACCAAGGTCCTCAAATTCAAAACGGAGAACAACAATCCAATCAATCTTGATGGCAAATTTTTGGAAGATGTAGAATCCTTCATATACCTGGGAAGCGTCATCGATGAACAAAGAGGTTCAGATGCAGACGTAAAGGCGAGGATTGGCAAAGCAAGGGCCGCATTCCTACAATTGAAGAACATATGGCACTCAAAACAACTTTCAATCAATATCAAAGTGAGAATCTTCGATACGAACGTCAAGGCAGTTCTACTGTATGGAGCTGAAACTTGGAGAACTACAACAACCACCATCAAGAAGGTACAAGTATTTATAAATAGCTGTCTACGCAAGATATTTAACACCGATTGGTCGGATACCATCAGTAACAGCCTACTGTGGGAGAGAACAAATCAGCTTCCAGATGAAGAAGAAATTAGGAAAAAACGATGGAAACGGATAGGACATACATTACACAAATCGTCAAACTTCATCACGAGGCAAGCCGTAACTTGGAATCCTGAAGGGAAGCGGAAAAGAGGAAGGCCAAAAAACACATTACGTCGGATAATACAGGCAGATATGAAAAGAATGAATAGGAACTGGAAAGGATCGCTTGCGACAGGGTTGTATGGAGAATGCTGGTGAGCGGCCTATGCTCCTCCACGAAGAGTAACAGGCGTAAGTAAGTCAGTGTATTGAATCCAATGAAATCACTACAAATGTCTGGGTATTGTTCTTCTCTTTTTTCATCTAAATAGATGTGTTTTATACCCTCAAAGTAGTTTTAATATTGTTAGCCTACTTTATTGGATACATTTCTGAACAAAATTATTTTTCTGATTCTCAGTTTTATACAAACTTAACTATTTTTTATTACCTTATTTATTGGAAAAATAAATACTACTCACATTACTACTATTATTTACAATAATTAGGACTCACAAAAAGAAGAGTTGAAAAAACTTTTAAAAGCTCAATCGGAACACTTTAGAGTGTGTTCAGATGCAGTGGAATCGGCATTACGTGCGATCTAAAAAAAACAACCGTAAACTCAAACTAATTCAAAAAGAAGGTAAGGTTTTATTGCCAATTTACATTTGTATAATACACACACACATACATACATATTTATCATTGTAAATGATGCCGTCTAAACGATTGTTTTCTTTGAAAACATTTTTTTAATGCAAATAAATTACCTGTGTTGGTTTTCAGTAGTACATCGTTGTTTATTTTCCTTTTGTAAGCAAAAAAATTGCGTCAGTCAGTATGTATCATTAAAAACTAGATAACAATAGAACCATATTTCATAGATCACATAAATTGATTCTATGCAAATTTTAGTCATCTAGATGATAAAGGTTATGTGTGCAATTTTATGAAGAATCATTTTAACCTGCACCTTAACTTGATTATACATTTTCTTTTACTTTTCATTTTATTGCATATTTTTACTTATTAATTCAAACACTTCTTACTGATACTGTTTTTTTTCTAGAAAACTTCTATGTTTACTTCTGATATAAAATAGTTTACACATTTATATTCATTATTATGCAACTTTTTAAGAAGTAAACTTTTTTTTTTGACTATTCGTACGTAACACATAGAGTTAGCTTGTTAGTCATAAATCATATGAACACAAATATGGAATATCCGACATTTCTATAATTCGTATCAGAACAGAACGAGAAATTTATCAAGATGAAAATCAAGGAGCTTGAATCATTTTTGTTGATATTATAAAAAAATCAATATGACCGAAGTATTTTCGGCTTCTTGAATATAACCCAATACGTACGATCTGGTTGACGGAAAGACTTTTTTTTTCGGTTAGCGATTAAAATAGTTTTGGAAGTTGAAACTGAACACTGGTAGAGGGGTTATTTTAGGTGCAGAACTATAGGCGAGAATATAATTTTATTGATGAACCGATCAGATTTCAGATTACAGGTCTTGGATTTCGGCGCAAAATTCATTTACTCACTTGGCTATATACCATTGTGGTGTTATAGCTGATGCTAGTTCGTGATGAAAACAGTAATAGTTCAACCTCACTAATATATAACCCTCATTTAATCTTAGTAGTAAAGTGGACATTTCAAGATCACTTTAGCGTTGCTAAAAGGTCGTCCATAAATTATATTCAGCGAACTATAAAATAGGAGTTTCTCGTCAATAGTCGTAGGCTAAACGAAATCAAAAATATACGACCCAACTGATGTGTACATATGCTAATTATTTTAGCTACATTTGTCATTCATTTTCGAGGTTTGATCACTTCTAATCTCCTTTACTTGTGTCTTATCATTGTTGTACCTCCATTATACTGAGAATCCAAACAAACCCAATATACATCGATGTACTTCGTTGGAAATGATTTATCAAATTAGTTGTACTAGTAATTCAAATGCTGTCTGTTTGCCCGGTTGATTTTGCTTGTTCAAACAAAAGCTCACTTTTTAATCCTGGTAATACGGCAACAAGTTATTTAAACTTTGAGGTAGATCTACATAATTAAATCATTTATGCTACAGAACAAGTGAAGTTACACTATTATATACTGCCTGATGATTAGGAAACACTTCAAGTCCATTTAAATCTCAACTGTATATCTTTAAACCTTTAATTTTCTTATAACTTTTTCTATTTAATTATAATTACAGAATGAAGACGCTGATGGTCCTTCTTTAATAATAATATTAGTAATAATAAAATGAATGGGTTTCTGCTAATGTTTCTCAACATTTATATCGTTTTATCATTTCGTATTTACAAACTACTTATATTTCTACTTAAATATCTGTGATACATTTAGAATTTATTTTGAATGTCACTTTTTCATACATTTTTTTCTTTAACAATTACTTGTGTTGTTTCATAACGTTTTCATACGTATAAAACAAGAAAAAGGCAGAATAAATGTTGATTTCCTCCGTGTCTTATTGTTGTACCTTGCTTTGCAGAAGAAAATCATTTATTATTTTTATAGCAAATAACATCACATGAAATTCTACTTCAACGGTTGTTTCCTTCCGTGATGGAGAACCGTTTTCCAATAAAAACTAAGCTGAACTACTGAGTCAGTGACGAGGATGCTAATCGCCTTGGGGTCACAATGTATTTAGCATAATAGGGTTAGAAGTTAATACTGGGAGTCAAGATAAAGTGTTGGTTAGTTTTTCTCAAGGACCAACATTAGCTATTGTACAGCGATTCTGAAATGTGTATACCTTCGTTTCTACGTAAACAGTAATTTACAAATTATTATAAGCAGAGATACAGGACGGCTATCAGTGGAATTCATGACCCGCGTTTCGTTCCATTTGGGACTCGTCAGCTGGATTTGCCTGCATCCCAGAGTCGGAGTTCACTCCGGGACTGGAACCTAGTACCATTCGCTTCAAACGGCACTGCATTTTCTACCTGATAATTATGTATGTCCAAGTAGATACTCGCTCTTGCCATGAGGTGAAGTTTAATTCATTTACATTGTTTTTTTTGTATATTCCTATTGATGCTTAGAACTGTAACTCATCAGTCTGCTTTTGACTGATGCGATGGCGTTTGAAGCGGACGATATTAGATTGGAGTCCTCGAGTAAACACTAACTGTAGGGTTCAAGTAAATCCTGTTGAAAAGTACCAAGTAGAACGGAATGAGCATACTAGATTCCAGTGATAGGCACCATCCATCTCTGCTTATCAGTCCGCATAATGTGCACATATGCCAAAAGAGACCCATCAGTCACAGTCTCAAGCATCAATGACAAGATTTAAAGAGCTGGTACAAAGGAATTATTTCATTATGAAATTAAGTGGACGAAAATCGGGTCTTCGGTGCCCTAAACAGATTTGGTAGGTACCGAAGATCTATATAGAGGAGATGAAAAATCCTGATTAGAAACCAGTAGTGCATATGAGCTCCAGAATTTTCGAATAAACAGTGATGTATGAACCCATTTCTAGTCACTGGCTACCGTGAGACCTCATCTAACGTTCCACTGCCTTGTGGATTAGACCTCTCGGTCAAAGGCTCGCGAAGTGACTGTCTAAGAAAACTAACTCCTTCGGTCTGAGAACCGGGCAGTATCCCGGCCTGCACACAAATTGTGTGGCGAATAAATATTTTGGCACCTTTTTTTTTACCGATGTTTATGTTTAAATTAATAAATAGAGTAGTTAAGGTGGGATCAGTTTAAAGTCAATTATTGTTTTTTTGGAATTGGAAACAGTTTCTAAATTGTATTGTATAAGCATGAAGTCATTTGACTGAAAAGCGATTCCTATAGACCACCATTAAGAAAATAGTCAATTTATTTATTCCGCTGAAGTGTTTCACCAACAAGTTGTGATACTGATTACTGTCTATAGTTTACATCTCATGTAAATAAGTTGACAAAATGACTATAAACTGGAAAAATCATTCATTTTATCTTGATTTCCTTAACGTCATAAGTTTACTTGGAATTAAAGTTTTAGCCTTTTGTCAACCAGGAAATTGAATTAAAAGTTGTTCAAATATTTATTGGGAAATTCCAAAAAATAATGGTCAGTATTGATCGCGAAGAACACATGAAATGTGGTTAGCAGGTAAATTCAGGGTGTACGCTTCGTCTCATCTTGGATTCATCAGTCATATGTTCTTGGATTCCAGAGTTAATATTTATCCAGGGGTTCAATCCCAGTACCTTTCACTTCAAATACCAATATCAAAATTGAGATAATATATCAACAGATGAAACTCACTTTCTAGATTTCACTGACAGTCACATTTCACCCATTCAATATAAACATATGTTGTAATGGCTACATGGAGGCGATTCGCACAGCATGTATATATACTAAGAATATTCAAAATCTGTTGGGGACGTTAGATCCCCAGAACTCACTTGGGAAAGGGCCTAATTTTGTAATTTATTTAGAAAATTTGAATTTTTTTGTTTTCGCGCTGAAGGCGTTCTTGTCACCATATCGTATTTCCCACTGGTCCGTTGCTTCTTTTAGTATGCTATTTGCTAACTCTCCCCAAGGACGCTTTTGCATTGTATATATACGTTTTGGATTGTGCTTGTTTTTATCGCTCGTTTCTAGCTGATTCGCAGGATATAATTCCCATTCCAAGCTTGAACTTCTCCCTCTAATTAACGGGGCTGGGACACATCAATAGCTAGCTTACTGGTCCTTGGTCACCGAGTCTTGTTCTCGTTCGCCGATTAAGTGAACTTGTGATAGCTTCAAACCTAGCAAGCCTATCCAGTCTCTGAATCCTTGATTCTTCGTTCCGTTCCGAGTAAGACGAATCAGTAGTAGTATTCAAATTAAGGAACATAACAAAATCGCGATAATAAGATAATCCAAACCATTACAAATTATATCAGTATTAATGTATCAGTAGAAAAGATCCATTATTTTCTCATTTATAACTTATAAGAGATTAATCATTTTTATATAGCATATTTTCTTTAACAAGAACCATTTTCAATCATTGCACTGAATCGATCAATACTTCAACAACAACAACAAAAACTTATGAAATAATAATACTAATTGGTGTTTAGATTATGTTGATTAGAAGAAAATCTTAAAACTATGGTGATGAATTTCTGTCATGTGTTTAATGAATCGCTTATAATATTGACACATAATAGTAGGTGGATTCAAGAAGAAGAAGAAGAATGAAATTGTTATGTGATTTAATCAATTATCAATCATTTTTTATAGATCTTTATGTTTATATGTATCCGTAAGAAAGATCAAAGGCGTTTAAATTAAATTCATCATTATAGATCAAGAAAAAAAATGTTTGTTTGAACAGAATAAGTTAACTAAATAAGTTTCTTAATAAATATTAGAATACTATAACGAACAAATAAACAATCTGAGGTACTGTTTTCGAATTCCGGAATCAAAATCAACTCTGCGATTCAGCTATATCCAACCGACGAGTTTCAAATAGGACGAAATGCACTTTTTGGATTCCATTATTAGCTATTATCCATTTTTGCTTATAATGAGATTATATAAATTTAATTTCAGATTACTTAAGCTACATCAGTTTTATCTTCTTCAGAATTAATGCAATCATTTCAATTTTATGTAAAGAATTCATCTATTCTCCGAAAATTCAAGATCCATAGTATTATAATAGATCGGTCGCTGGTTATTTATCGTATCTCCGTAAAATTTCCGGAAGAGAATTTCACTATTTACTACAAAGTACCGATTTCATTGTCACTAAGGATAAAACTATACGTTAAGATTAAAATTTACAATTACTGTTTAAATTTTTTTAGTCACTTTGAATAAAACACTATCTAACCGATTGGTTCAAACTGGTTCTGCATTATTCTTGAATGAGTCGTCAGTTTATCACTGAGAGTATAGTTCATTCTACCTTTCACTGATTGAAACTATGAGTCAATTGAAGCTAGATCACAATGGAAAACCTGGAAGCACTGGATGGCCGTTTCGTCCTAGTATGGGGCTCCTCAACAATGCGCATCCACATTCCCGCCACCACAACATTCGAACCCAGGATATTTGTTTATTTATTTATTTATTCAAATATTATTAGAACAGCCTAATTACATCATCTGTAAGTTTGTATTCGTTATTTCAAATCAAATTTAAACTATACACCTCATCGTTGTATTTGGTAGTAGTCCACGTATTATGTAAATCATTATTTACTATCTAGAGTTAATACATCTAAATTATCAATGATATACAACATCAATGCAACAACAAAGAAAAAAACTTTACAAGAAAAGAAAATCATTTAATTTACATCTAATAGAGATCAATAAAAATTACAGGTTCTTAACTTTATTGTTCAATTAGATACTATTTATGCTGTATATATGACAATGTTCCAGGTATGATTCATTAGTTAACTCATTTATTGCCAAAATGTTTGACACAATTTTATATACATTTAAAAAAAAAAGAAAAAAAAAGAATTATTATTTGTCAATTGAAATGAATATTTAATCAATTAGTTGAAATCGTGTGGTGTTTGAATTGACTAATGATACTTTTGTACATGTTGATTGCACAATTTCGAATTCCAAATACAGTACATTCGGTTGTGCCTGTGTCTTCTTAATTCAATTGCGTTATTTCTTGGACTCTTAGTTCGTGCTATAATTCAAACAATTCGAAACATCATAAATCGTCATATATGACCACAAAAAAAACAACATAAGAAAATGATGGTCTAACTTTTCATGAGCATAGGTTTCATTATCCACAATGTGAATTACTCTTGATCTGAATGATATAGTTGTGAAAGTTTTATTTCGTTAAGATTACTCTCTACAAATGAATATAATATTTTAGTTTATTTACGAATATTAATAAAGATTATTGACATATTTTTCAATGTTAAATGGTTTTTTGTTAGAAATCTTTAACCTGGGTTTTCGTGCTAGTCGATAGTAATCAGAAATGCGTATCTACAATCTTCGGTGTATTGATTCTTCGACAAAGACTCGAACCAATATTACATATTACATATTACATTACTAAAAGGATATTTAGGAGGCGATTATATAATTCAGATATTTACATTAATTGATCTTTGAGTATTAAACAACAACATGTTTTTCTGGTCCTTTAATCTTGATTGAATTCTATTGATCAAGCTGCAACTACGTGTCATTTAATGACCTAAGACCCTAGATACCGCCTAACATTCAATCTTAACAATAAGAATGAAGAAGGAATTGTCTGGACTATTAGATTTTCAGTTCTAATGCGTTTTGTAATGCCAACTAAGATGTATTTTCTAGGAATTCCGTCCTTGTTCCAGACCAACATAAACTGAATAATCGTTGAAATCAGCTAGCGCTGAGAAGTTATATCACCTTAACCGGGAACTCATCAAAAGTTTACGCCTACAACCCCACTGCTGAAACTAAAAACAATTTGCATTAAGCC